TGAAGGGGAACCCTCGTAACCCAAGCCTGCCCCGACAAAATTGAAAAAAGAGGGTCCCTTATTTTTTAACCCCCCCTTAAACATACCCCAATTTGGACCCCCCCCATTTTTAACTTTTTTTCATTTTTTTCTTTGCGGGGGTGTCTAACCTCGCTCACGCCCCCGGAATCCCGACCTCGATTTCCGGTACCCCCACCCCTCGCCCGCGGCACGCCCTTTTTTACCGCAACCGCGGCGGTCACGACCGCGGGCCTGCGGTCGACCGCGGTGGCCGCCGTCATGCCCCCGGCGGCCGCCGGGGATACATAGGCAAACAGGTTTTAGAATGACATGAGGTCAAAACCAGCAGCAAAAGAGAAAGTGAAAACATAATCCTTCTTAAATTTTACTTGGTGGCCAACAAACGGTCTGGTTCACGAGGAACCTGCATCCCCAACCTCGAGGTATTTAAACTCTCAAGCCAGGGACACTTTGGAATAGACTGAAAATTCAAGAAAAGAAAAGACTCAAAGATTCAAAGAGAAGGCCTCCTGCCTATACAAGAGATAAAAGACGACCATGAACTCAACTTGAAGTAAAATGAGAAGAAAGAAGATGCAAGAAAGGGTACAGTTATTAGTATGAGAAGAGGGAGAGATTGCACATGGGATAGAGGATGGTGGAATAGGTACTAGGGCTCTATTTACTGTGGGAGAGGTAGGGGCCGTTGAGTATATGGAGGGGAAGAGGTGTTGGGCACGCTGTAATGCGCCTCAATTTTTTTCAGAAAGTACTCCATCCTGTTCCAGGATAAAGTTCTTTCGTACCATGCACCAAATGAGTGGAGGGGGTAAGGCCTTGAGTGTGAGCCATAGCCTCTTGGCTCGTCCTCTTCTTCCTCTGAACTGTACTCACGCCGTGTGTGAGCCGACGGCTCTTCGCGCACCTTCCCTCCTGTACCACCTCTTCCTTTTCCTTGTCCCCTACGTGTTTCAGGCATGGTGAAAATGAAAAGGTGGTTAAGACAAAAAAAAAAAAGACAAAAGGAAAGAGCATTGCGGTGCGAGAATTGAGAACTGCAGAAGAAAGGAGAAAAAAATTAATTGCGTAGATCACATGGGGTAGCTGCGAGTGGTAAGAAAGAAAGCGCGAGCGCAGTGAGAACGTGAAAACCAAGTTAGAGCAGAAACTGCACAATGGACTTCGCCACAAGTCTCAACAGAAAGGAGTAGATGTACTACCAGCACGGGGTATTTTATACCTGCTGCGTATGCGTTTTGACCCAGCGGGGACACTGGGTGGGGTTTGGTATCATGTCCTGGCCCTCCTCTGCGTACCAAGTCCCTGCTTGGTATAAGACTCTTGCTCCGACGTCGTGGTCTGTAGGCATGCTCCCAAACCTCTACGATCCCAAGTACTCGGGCTGTACCTTGACGTGGACCGGTCCTGTTGGTGCCTGCCTCAGCAAAAAGATGCCACAAGACTTTCCTTTGGTCCACGCAGGATCGGCGCCCTGCTGTACAGCAGAGCACTACCGGCCTGTGGCCGTGGTAGCCGCCGGGTTCGCCCAGTAGCGCGGAAGTAAATAGACCGGCGCATTTTTTTCTACTGCGCGCCGAGTGCCCTTTAGTCGAGTTATGGGTTAGATGTGTGAAGTTGCAGTCACTATCGAGCGGAGGAGGTTCAAGTGAGGCAAAAGAAAAAGAAAAGAAAAAATAAGCGAAAAGAAAGCCGTACAGTCAGATCTATGCGCCGATCTGGACCCTCGCCTTAGTTCATGATGATACGGTGACGTATGGTATTAGTGGCATTATAACTTTTTCTCCTTTTCCTAGTTTTACTGCTATTGTTATTAGTAATATGACTACTGTTATTAAAATCATTTTCGATTTCCTACTATCTAAATCTTTCTTCTTTTTTTTAAGCGAGGAAGCCAACGGTTCAAGTTTTCGGACTCTGGGCTGAGAGGCCCGAACTAAGCGAATTTTCACTTGTCTCCTTTGTCCGATCTTCCAGATGAGTGCCGCGGTGGAACCCCAAAAGAGGGGCAACCCGCGGCCGCTTTAGTAGGAGACTTATCAGCCCCCGTGAAAGGTCATAAGCCCCTTTCTTACCATCGGACACAGGTACCCGATAGAAACAGGGCAACAACACAATTTGAAGGGAGGAGCGTGTTCGTCGGAATCCTGTTATGAGGCCATCGTTCCAAGCCTGTAGTCACATCATGAGGGCTAGTGGTTAGTAGCACGGTCGACTCATGCTCCGACCGTTTAGTTTCGACCTTCTATCTTATATTTATTTATTATTTATTTATTTATTTATTTGGTTCTATATTAGGTTTTGGTAATTCAAAGTTATTAGTATGTAGAATTCAAAAAGGAAGTCAGTCGAACTCTTCGTTTAGAGCACAGGGATCACGGCTCCTGTAAAGGACGCGATGAATGGGCCATTGGCTATTAGCTGGGAAGTCGCGCTTAGAGGCTTTCACAGTACTGCTGACTTGTGGACTGAGTTAGAAGCGGGAAAAATGTTGGGTGTTCGTGGAGGGAGACTGGTTGAGTGCACGTGCGCTAGGCACCTGGGTACTAACTGCAGTGAACTTGCGGCTATGGTACGCAGTAGCGGGCTATATGGCTATAGACCAAGGTGCCTCCAACATCTTTGGAAGTGGGAGCAGATGTCGGGGGAAGGACCTACAATGACTGCTGTGTTAGACTACAGTTACGACAAGGGAGAGGCTAAGCTGAGGATAAACGTGGAAGGAGGGAGAGACATTTTTTAGGCCGGTGTTGTGCCGCCGAAAGGTTGCATTTACCGTATAAGCGAGGAGGAGCTTACGGTCCTCTGTGTGCAACTCGATGACATGTCGGACAAGGGTTGGATCCACTCTAGTAGCTCTCCATATGGAGCGCCTGTTCTTTTCGTACGGAAGATGAACAAGGATCTACGATTATGCATCGACTACCGCAAACTCAACACGCAAACCGTCAAGAATGCGGGGCCTTTTCTTCGCATCGACGATCTTCCTGAGCGATTGGGCTTCATGAAATATTTTTCTAAGTTGGATTTGAAGTCGGGATATCATCAAATCTCGATCCGACCGAACGATCGTTAAGACTCCGCATCCAAGATGTGGTATAGGCATTTTGAGTGGGTGGTCATGCCTTTTGGCCTCACCAACGCCTCGGCGACCTTTCAAGCGGCAACAGGCCAACCGCCAGCGTCTTCCTTGCCCATTCCACGCTGGCGATCTCGTTTGGGTTTCCGCCACGGAATTCAGCCTTGAACAAGATCTCTCTCGCAAGCTCCTCCCGAAATAGATGGGTCCTTGGCCGATCCTGGCACCTGCTGGGGATGCACCCGAGGGACCTTCCTTCACCATTCAGGTGTCCGCCCACTTGCCCGTCTACCCCGTCTTTCATTGATCCAAGTTGGCTCTTTACACGCCGACGATTTTCCCGGGTGACGATCGCAAGACCCACCCTCTATGGACGGTTTTCAAGAGGTCAATGACATCATCTTCCAGGGACGCTACGACAACAGGCCAACCGAGTACTTGGTACACTTCACGTACTGCAGTCACAAAGTTGACCGTTGGTTAACCTGTGCGGAACTCCAAGCCACAACTCTGGATGTTATCGCACGCTAGGAACGCAAGATGCAAGGCAAGAAGGTATCTTGGGCTCCACGTCGCACCCGCCGAATCCATGTTCCACCTTCAGATCGTCAGCTTCGCCCTCGCCCCGGCTTAACGTCATAAGGAGGGGGGGGTCATCAGAGTCAGGGTGGTAGGGGACATGAGGGAAGGTGAGGGCGAAGGTGGTTCTTCGGAAGGTGAAGGGCGTTGTGTGGGATAACAAGGGAGAGTGAGGGAGAAGAGAGAGACGTACCTGGTGGAGAGGAGGTCGGCATTGGTGTTGACGTCATCACTCGCTGGTCGTCAAGTTGTCTGGTTGCTTCCCTGCTGTAGTTGTAGGGATAGGATGTAGAGTAGATAGGGTGTCTGGCGCCATTCAAGAGAGAGAGCTACATTGGGTTATGTTGTTGGTGTTGCCCGATTGGGCTTGGACATTGACTCACGATTCTGCTGTATCGTTCTCAAATGGATGGTTCCTTGGTTCCATTGTGCTATCTGCTCTTGCTTTGACTACTTGGACTTCAGTGTGATTTTGCAAATTTGGATTTCTGTGCTTCGTCCACATTCATGTTCCTTGCAAATTTGGTATCGAAGCTGGTTCGATTCGCCGCTTACCTTGGTGCGTTGGCGTTATACAGACTTGGTGCGCTGGCGTTATACAGACTTGGTGTGCTGATGTTATACAAACTTGGTGCGTTGACGATGTTTCTTCACAGTTGGTTCTTGTGACGTCAGACCGATATTAGGCGCACGACCTGGGTAGAGAGGTGTGCGCCGGAAGGCTGTACGGATTGGGATGCCGTGGCGACGACGGAATGTATGATTGGTGATGAGAGCATGCTGATGTGGCATTTGGCTGAGGGGGCACTGCATTGCGTTGTGAGTGGTACCGAGGCTAAGACCGGTCAACAAATGCACACTCAGCTCAATTGGTGAGAAATCTGTGGTTGGGGGAAGCTATCTCCAGGTACGCTGTTCCCTTACCTTTTCTACCCTCTCAATCTCTTCTTACCGCGAGAAAGTGAGTCCAACTTGAGAGTCCTCTTTTGTGGTGAGGTGCCGTGAGCGCTCTACCTTGAGAGACGACAATCTTCCCAAGTTCCTAGTGGCGCATCTTGAAGGAGAAAGGGCGGTGCCTCTAAAGGGCCCTGGTCGAAGCACATGGGTCACGGTCACCATGCCAACCCAA